GGTCACCCTCATTAGTGCATATGCACCAACACTGTCGTCCACAACAGAAGTGAAAGACAAATTCTATGACGATCTGGCAGCTACTATCAAAAAAATCCCAGAGAGAGAGCCGCTGTCTATTCTCTGAGACTTTAACACTGGAGTTGGTGCTGATCACAATTCATGGCCCACCTGTCTAGGCTGTTTTGGCATCGGGGAAATGAATGAAAATGGCCAGCGCTTGCTGGAGTTTTGCTGTTATTATGGTCTTTATGTCAGCAATACATTCTTTACTACAAAGCTTCAACACAGAGTTTTCTGGAGACATCCAAGATCGAAGCGTTGGCATCAGCTCGGTTTGATCCTCACTAGACGCTCTAGCCTCCGTAGTATTACAATCACATGCAATTATCAGTTACAATTATATTGTATCATACGAAAAAGGAAGGAAAACCACGTATTGATATCAGCAAGCCTCGCAATCAAAGAAAAGTGGAGGAATGTGTCTAAGCGCTTGAGGAAAACCTTCCAAGCCCAGCTGATGCAAATATACCTGAATGATGGGAACATTTCAAGAAAGTTGTTTATAACACCGCCTTGTCCACATTTGGCAAGAAGACCAAAAAGATGGCAGACTAGTTCCAAGCCCATTGGGAGGAGCAGATGCCAGCCATCGAGGATAAGAGGAGAGCTCTAGCAGCATACAAAGCCTGTCCTAGTGAGTACAACTTGCAGACTCTTTGAGCTGCTCGAAGCAAAGCCCAACAGGCTGCCAGGAGGTGTTCCAACGATTATTGGCCTACGTTCTGCTCTCAGATACAGATAGCAGCAGACACAGGTAACATCAAGGGAATGTTTTAGGTCCAATACAGAATAAATCTGCTCCTTTGAAGACTGCTACAGGAGTGATCATCCAGGACCGAGCACAGCAGATGGAACGCTGAGTGCAGCACTACTCTGAGCTATATTCCAGATTGAATGCAGTAACCGAAGAAGCATTAAATGACATTGAGTGCCTGCCTATCTTGGAAGAGTTGGACAGCAAACCAATTTTAGCAGAAATAAAAACGGCCTTGGATTCCATGGTTGTTGTGGGTTTTGGCCGCCTAGAGTAGTCCACCACGACTAGATAGGCGGGATATAAATTAAATAAATAATAATAATAATAATTTTTCGGGCTCTTTGGCCGTGTTCTGAAGGTTGGATTCTGTTCTGAAGGCCTTGGATTCCCTCGCCTCCAGCAAGGCACCTGGGAAGGATAACATCCTTGCTGAAGTGCTGTAAAGAGATCATCACCACCGAGCTGTATGAAATATTTTGCCTTTGCTGGAGAGAAGGTGGGGGTATCACAGGACATGAAGGATGTAAACATCATCAAATTGTATAAGAACAAAGGAGACAGGGACAACTGCAATAACTACAATGGCATCTCTCTTCTTAGCGTTGTAGAGAAACTGCTTGCCCGTGTTGTGCTGAAGAGGCTCCAGGTGCTTGCAGAGTGAGTCTATCCAGAATCACAGTGTGGATTTCGAGCCAATAGATCCACCACTGACATGGTATTCTCCCTCAG